TTTACAATAATTACGTTGATTATTGCAATTATCACTCATAATTTTTATACATAATATAAACTCCCGACACTTTTCTGACGGTCCATCGCTCTCTCAAGCTAAATGGAAATTCTGCGGCTATGATACTTTATTGTATTATATATTTAAATAAATTTGTAACACTCAACTGTGGGCTGTTATAATGTATATATATCAACTGTGAGTATATAATATTGTATTCTTACTTACTCGGTGGTCATGGGAATAGGTGTCTTGATCTGTTCGAAATAGGAGACTAACATCGGAGACAAGATGGACGCGACTGTTAAAAGGATAACTTCGATGATCCCATAGATGGGCCACCTCCACAAAGGGTAGATGACGAAAGGCGACAGCCAAAACATCTGCATATCTGCGGCGAGATACCAAGACTGCATCATGCACTGAAAATAGATTTATGAATGAATATTACCTCTTTATTTTGTGACATAAATCCTCCAAGGAATAACAAAAAGCATCATTCAAGAAACTGTTCTCTTGTAGCATTATAACCTTAATTATAAACTACAATAACAATAACAAATACAATAATAACATACAAATTAAAATTGAAAGTATATACATATTTGTGTATACTTTGTTTGACATTTATCCTTATATGTATATGAAGAAAATTGATCATTGAGAAAATTGATGATTAAATGAGAATAATTCGCTGGAATTAGGAATGAGGATCCATAAAAGATTCCATGAGAAATTTTAAAAAGATTTTTTAATGAAAAAAGTTTATTGAGAAGATTGGGATATTTTATATAAGAGGTGGAAAGGATTCAGAGTAGAAAATGGACGAAATAGACCAACCGTTCTTTAATTGATACAAAAGTTGGAATAGTAACATTTGTCCCCGAAATCGTCGATTAAAAAAAAAAAGCTTAAAGTGGTTGCTTTAGACCACAGGATAGCAGTGAAAACATCAACAAGGCGAGCTTAATAATATAAAATATAAATTATAAATAATAGCTCATTATGAAGAGAATAAAATTTTAAACATTTCCCTCGGAGTTTCTTCCTGAGATATGAAAATATTAAAAAAATAAATAAATAAAAGAACCTGTACCACTGCAACCCATGAAAGTTCTGGGGTTCAGTACTATTTAGGGAAAGCACTGTTTCTAGGTAAACGGTTGTGCAAGGAGGTGATTTGACCGATATCATGCTCAACCGCCAGGTTTTCCCCCTTAATTAATTATTTAATTAAGGGTACCCACTTTATAGAGGCTGGGTATGCCCCAGGAGGGTCTCCCGACCCAGGGTCGCCCCACGGCCAATGAAACAAATAAATAAATTTGTAGCATTGGAAGCTAAGTACCCTGCCACTGAGCTACCCCACTCCCTGGAAAATATTAATGTTTTATATATTATATTTATTAACGAACGGTCTTCTTGTCCATTAATATGTCGTAGCTTTATAGCGAAAAGACATTTAATTACTTTAAATAATTAATCGCTTTATGGAATCAGGAAATTGTTCGTTTGCTGAGATATTTTAATACAAATCTTTAATAAAAATCATTATCATTTGGTTTTCGACATTAAATTTTTCTTTTCGCTTCCCTAACACGTCGTCACGTTAAAATAAAATTTTGAGTAATAGCCCGATACAAAGAGGATTAAATGATGAACATTTTTCTCCCTAACAATATGCAGGTCTGATTTTTAGTTTTTGATTAATTTAATCTATATGCAAAGACACTTCAATTAGTCGACTACAGCCAAGTTCACCCGAGCGTTATACATCGGAAATCTGACGGCTCAATCTAATTTATTCTCCACAAAAAGGATCAAAGTTTTTACTTCAAAAATACTTTTATAGTGGGTTGACTGTAGTGAAAATTGAAGAGAAGTTGGTTGGGGTGTTAATTAAAAAAATAAATAGATTGCGTTTAATTTTATTTTTGCCAACGTTTCGTTCCAAAGTCCAGACTTTTATAATGGCTGATGAAAACTCAGATAACAATAGGGTATGAAAAACTATAGACATTAAAAAGAAATTAATAATACGACATAATAATATAACTGTAACAGAGAGGAACTTGTGAAATAAATAATAACTGCAACAAAGTGGGGAACTAATGAAATAATCATAATGAATGAAATAAACATAAAGAAATTAGGTAAAAAAAGGAATGAAAAAAAAAAATTAACAAAGAAATTTAATGGAATGTTATGAGATAAAAATGTTAGACATGAAATAAATGGAGTGACGTATTTGCTAAAATATGATGTCTTAGAACATTAAAAAGAAGCGAGATAGACATAGAATACAATGTAAAACAAAGAAAAATCATATGAAGTTAACTAAAGAAAATAATAGATGTAAATTGAAAAATTAAGATACTATTATATCTATCAAAACATACTGACTACATAGAAGAGAATTAAAAGGATAAAATTATGTAAATTATAAAAATAAGGTGTAAATGTATCAATATACACAAAATAGAGAGGTGTGGAAAATAAAGTAACGAGAAAAAGGTAAATGAGAAGAATACTAAGATAAAAGAAGAAAATTGACCTGATCCCACGAAAGGTTCCAGATAAGATATTTTGGAACGGAATCTGTAGAATTATTACTGTTGGGTTGGTAAATAAGTCCTTTCGGTTTTTCTGTTTATTTTTATGTCTCTATAATACACTTCTTATCTGATGAATTAATCCCTAAGATGGATTGTTTATGCTGTATATAATATGTCAACATCTATATCTGTTAACTCTAGTTGAAACTAGCTTAGTATTGTGTTTGCTATTGCACTGTGAATATGGAAGAAAATATCATTTATTATTGGCAAATATTGTATTATTTTTAAAAATGTAAGAGTGTTGCAGAAGCTCATAGAAAAATATGAAGTGTTTATGGAGATGATGCCTTAACCGAACGCATCTGTCAAAATTGGTATGCCAAATTTTATTCATGAAATTTTGACATCAATGATGCTCAACGGTCTAGTCGCCCACATGAAATTGAAACGAGCAATGCTAAGGACATTTTTGATCAAAATCCCACCCAATCAGTGCGAGAGATTGCTATGGCCTTAATGTGTTATACACAACAAAACCATTTGCACATGCTCGGCTATGTTTCCAGGCTTAATGTTTACGTACATCACTCTCTGTCCGAAGTCAACTTAGCAATATATATTTCTGTTTGTGATTCACAAAGGAAACGGCAACAAAACTAACCATTTTACGAAAGGTTGGTAACAGGACATGAAAAATGGATATTTTACGAAAATGTAATGTAGTGAGGCACCCAGAAGAATGTCAAAACCCGGATTGCATCCAAAGAAGAAAATGCTTTCCATATGGTTGGATTTTAAGGGTGTTATTTTCTATGAGCCATTGAAATCAGGACAAACATTTGATTCAACTCTATACTGCTTACAATTAACAAAATTGGATCAATAAATTAAAAATAAACGCCCAGAACTGGCAAATCGGAAGGATGATGTAGCTCATTGGTAACTCGCAATAAATTATGGGGACCTTTTGCCCCACCCTTCCTATTCACCAGACCTAGCTCCAAGTGACTGCCACTTATTCTAGTCTCTGCAGAACTCCATGAATGGAAAGAAATTCCAAAAGGAAGAGTACATAAAAAACCACTTGGATTAGTTTTTTAACAATAAACTCTACATTCTATGAACATCTCATTATGCAGATAGGGAAAATATGGGAAAAGGTCATATTTAGATAGTGGTCAATATATTGTAGATTAAAATAAATTTTATGTCGATAATGCATTGAGTTTTATTTCATTCTGAATTATTTGCCAACCCAAGATTATTATTTTCTTTTTAATGTTAATAGTATCTCATACCTATTGTTATCTAGTCTTTCCTCAGCCCTGATGAAGGCCTGAACTTTTGAACGAATAATAAATATAATTTATTTATTTTTACTTTTTATTTTTTGACTTAACAACCCACCCAACTTCTCTCCAAAAATACTTTAATTTATAAATTATGAAATGACTTCATTAACATACCATAGTAAAGTAAATACAATTTTCAGAGTAAAATGTTTGAAAATATCATGTAATTTCCTAAGATATGCATACATTTTTCTCTCCTAGAAATTCTTAAATTTTTAAATATAATTATTAATATGCCTGCTATATATTTTAAAATGACTCACATAAGTATCCGGGTTGATGTAATTGTTGAGGTAGACTATGTTTTGCCAGTAGTTCTCCCGACATTGGTCCCTGGTGATTCCCACGAACCTGTACCACACAGGACCATCCCGCAGCCTGTACAGCCAGGTCGCTGTGAAACCTATCATCATCAAGTAGGCTGGTGTTAATCTGCAAAATACATGATATGTATAAATATTAAAATTGTAAAAAAATACATTTAAAAATTATTATATGTTGAAATAAATACAATATACAGGGTATCTCAGTTCTTAATGGGAGGTTATTCTAGAATAAAATTAAAAAAAAAAGTTCATTTATGGGACGGCGATTTTGAACAGCAAAGGGGTTAGTATCAATCTGGTTATTTTCTTGAGGTAGCACGTTTTTTATTTAATAAGAAGAAATTGCTCAAAAAACTGTTCAAGATAATTCAATTCTAAGTACACCATCGTAAAGTAGACAATTTGTTTTTGAGAAAACAGAGATTAAATGTAATAATCTCAACAATAAAAGAGAATTTCAGGAGATCTAATACGACCACTATACAGAGATATGTTGCTCTTGTATAGTTACAGGAACTGCAACAGTACACCGAATTATTCTCCTTTTTCATTGACCTTACTAAGTTTAATCGCTGTTTTCTCAAAAACGTTTTGTTTATATTGCCATCGAAGCTGAGAACAAAAGAAATATCCTTTTAGCCGCAAACAGATGTTACTTTGGATTGAGGCAACATCTATCAAGCAGATTAATGACCAGAAAAACAAAAAATTGTCTGTACAAAACTCTGGGTTGCCTAATGCTAACATATGGGGCAGAGACATGGACAATGAAAAAATATAGAAATAGAAAATAAACTTTATTCTGGGACGATGTCCCCTTAGAATAACAATAATGAACAGTCACAATAGAAAAGAATACATATATCTGGCCAAAAACTAACTTCATAAAGAATAAAAGAATACATACAATAACTTAAACAATAGTATGTGATTCACTAAAATATAAAACGAAATCTTTTCAACTATACTTATAATTGTTGTTACATGTTACATGTATAGAAAGAAAAATAAAACCTCTAGAAAAGAAAAAAATATCAAAAGTACTTGAATAAAAAGTATTGACTAAAACATAAAAATATATACCTTGTAAATATATATTAATGACAAAGGATGAACAATGGGATTACAATATTGAATTATTCTGACATAAGAGATATACAATAAGAATAAATAGATATATACAATTAGGAAGGGGCATTAAGTTTATTTTATGAGAAAATAATTGCGACAAAAAGAAGAAGAAAAAAGATAATTATAAGAAAACAAATTATTTATATATGTAATACCATACGCAATGAATGATATTGTAAACCATAAACAAATATGGAGATTAAGATAGGAAGGATATACATACATATATATATCTATATATATATATATGTATATATATATATATATATGTATATATATATATATATATATATATATATATATATATATATATATAAAGACATATATATAGATATATATATAGATATATATATATCTATATATATATATATATATATATATATATATATATATATATATCTATATATATATATATATATATATATATATATATATATATATAAAATTCAGGAAAGTAAACAATGAAATACATTTAAAATATATATAATCTTGTAGATAGAAAAAAAAATGGATAAAAACAACAAATAATCCCTTGTTTTTATGCATCACAGTGCAAAAAACAATTCATTACACAAAAAATAAAATAAAATAATGGTGTAATGAAAATGAAAAGAATAAATAAATAAATAAACAATTAACCTTGTTACATAATATATAATTAACCAGCGTCTGATTAGATTGTGAAGAGGAATTGGAATAGGAGGGTTTTGAATGAGGATAAGGATGGTGCATGGCGGATTTTAAGTTGGATGGAATTCCAAAAGGTGGTGGAACGGACAATAAAGGAATGTCGATATGAAGCTGATCTATGGAAAAGGGTGTAAAGGTCAGAAGGACGAGATCTTGTTGAGTGGGATTGGATAGATGGATGATTTAAACTGGGGCAGATTGTATACATAGGCGATGATTGTTGATTGTTAGGTAAAGGAATGTCTCAAGGAAGTATTATCTTCTGAAGGAGGGGATGAGCCAAAATTAGTTTAATGAGGAAACTTTCCATTTCTGAGAATTTTCGAAGATAAAAAAGTTATTGGTTACGATAAGATGAAGATATTCACGTAGCTTTAGACAGGTATTAATAAATTGATAAAAAGGATCTGTATCACGGAATATATGAGATAAATTATCAGGAGAGGTATGAGTGCAGTACACTGCGGCACTTCCTTCTGACCTGATATATATATATTATTTGTTAGGCGAGGAGGTCTCTCATCCAGCTCCTCTTCGACTATTTACGGACATGCGTATTATTTCCATGTCATTTATGACAATGTTAGGCTTCGTCAACTTTTGAAATCATCTGAGTTTTGAAAATTCCCATTTTTTTTATGACCTTTATTAAAGTTTTAGCAAGGTTGTAACTTTAGTCATTTCTTTATGAAATCTCTTTTCGTTTGACACCTCATTCATGAAAATCCATAGCTCCTGAGAGCCGAAAAAGGGAACTGTATTACTATATTATATATTGTACAGATTAAACAATTTAAAAAAAATATATTTACCTGAAAAACCTGTGTATATAACCATTGATGACATCTAAGGGTGTGTACCTCCGATTCTTCTCCCTCATGAAGCAGAAGGTATAAGTATTGAGAAGACCGGATATTAAGAAGAAGGAATCAACTGCTAGCGGCCCACTTAGCAGAAACATTTTCATGAGTTTTTTTATTTCCTATAATGGCAAGAGAAAATACATCAGTAATAACTCTGTATTTGTATTCAGTATCTTACCCACCAAGCTAGTGTTGCCCGAAATCGGTATTGGTCATACACTTTGCTTGTGAATTACAGTTATACAATTTGAGCAATTAAACAAGTAGTGCAATTAAATGAACAGTTGTATAATTTGTGAAATGAGAGTTGATCGATTTTAAAGGAGTTGGTTTTGGACTCCAAAGACCCCAACACGTTTGAATCTGTTGAAAACACGGTTTCAAAAATTTTCAAGATTGCAATATTCTCCATCCGTACATATATTATTACAGTAAGGCTCGAAATCGGTTTTGTACCAAATATAAGCTTCTGTCATGCTCAAATGCCATGAATGGAGAACCGTTGGATTCAGAATTTCACGGGGCGAATCGTATTCTCCACTTATGATTTTCTTTCTAAAATAAATAAAGTCGATACAAACATTTTCAGGCTTCAATACCTGAACAGTGGTAGGTCTTTAGATCGATACGGGACAAATTGGATCTTGAAGATTTTGATGAGTACAGCAAGACCCGGATAGTTCCTTTGGAACTATCGGATCCTGCGTTGTTAAGGCCAAAAACGTACTATTTTCGAGATAACGCAAGGCATAGAGTTTGCATCCACATAACCTTACATTATTTATAGTATTGTCATTGAATACATGTCTCATTTCGTCGACTTGAGGTCTCTATGATCGAGAGAGGAGGAGTTTATATTATTTATCGATGGTGTTTTTGATCGGCAAGCCATATCATCGTCAATTTTTCACCAAATCTCAAGATTGAGCCAACAATTTCGAAGGCTTCCTTCTCCTTCAGGCGGTCAAAATAGTCCATTAATCCCGAAAATTCAGGCAAAAAAGTTATAAAAGAAAACTAACTTTATTTGCCAATAACTAAAAAATTACACACTTTTCCCTTGGTTATGCCCGTGATTACATAAAAGATTACTAAATTCCCTACAAAAGAAAAAAAATTATTGAAATCGGACAATTTTTAGCAAAGATACAGCTTACTGAAATTTGTTTCAAACAAAAATGAAGATTTAAATTAATTTTTGTTTTCTTTGTCTATTATATTTATCGATAAAGTAACATTTGATTTTTTTATCTTTTGATAGGTTGTATTATTTTATTTTCTTAATCTGGCATTTGATAACAATATGCTTTGCTAATTTTTCGCACAGGCCTACTAGTTACTATATATTTTACATTTGGTAAATGAAAGTAAAATAAATATATAAATTAATCTTATTTTGATGTATATGTATAATTTAATTCAATTTAATTAACTAAAAAAAAACTTACTTCTGGGAAGTCTAAAAGGTTGGCGAGAGGTTCGGTGGCAAGGTACCTGTACCTATGCGAGACCACAACCCAGGCCATGCTGAAGAACTTCATGCCATTCAGAGAGGTCATGGCATCGGGTGGCATGTGCGTATCCAGCAACTTCCTGACGTTAGTGTACAAGGAGAAAGCCACTACCAGTTCTTCCGTATTGGTCTTAGCTGAGAACAAGGAAGAATAATACAAATGTGTTTTAAGAAGTAGTTGTTTATTAAAGGTATAAATATATATAATTTAATATATATATATATATATATATATATATATATATATATATATATATATAAAATATGTATAAAAGGTATAAATATATGTATATTAAGGTATAAATATAATATTTCAAATAAATGGACGAGGTGTCCCGTAACTGGAGGTAGTAGTAAATATAAAAACTTTACTTTAAACGATTTTGTCTTTATTAAAACCATTTAAAGAGGACTTTAGAGAGCGGATTAACTAAACTCATTAACTATTTAAGAAAAAATCATGGATTATTTACTATTTATTTTTAGCACTTATTTTTAGCACTTCAAAACTAAAACTATAACAGAAATTGAATACATATATATACTTACTTAAGCCCATATGGACATACGGACAAATCACAAATATACGGCATCGCTAAAAAGACTAACCTACAAAAACTTCAAACGTTCAAATCAAAATTATTGTGACTCATAATAAAAGCACCTTGGTACGTGACTAACAAAACTCTACATAGTGACCTCCACTTTCCAACAGTTGACCAACATATAGCGTCCCTTTATCGACGATTTTACACAAATTTAAATGGACATAATAACAGACTTATAAGAGACATGAGCGCAGCTGATACCTCAGAAGATGAGGAGAATAAAAAGGCGTTGGATGAGGGATCTCCTTCCTTAGACAACCTAAGTAATTGGAGCAAGTTAAGGAAGAGGTACTGCTGAGTACTTTCCTTCCCCATGCCTGTCATGTCATTATATCATGTATCGCCATCACATTTGATGATTGTCAACAATAAGTTGACAAGCGCAAATACATATTTTATAGACAAAAAAAAAAAAAAAAATTAGCACCTTACAACTAGGTATAATACAAATATTCCACTTTTATAAAAACATTCAAGTTTAATAGTCTTTAAATCCATATAGATTAAGTTCAGCTATATTATACATTAAGTGTAGATTAACCTCAAGTTGTCTAAAAAAATTAGGTGATTTGATATCCCGTCACAATATCTGTGTCTTTAGCAAAAATAATTACAATTCCTCCTTCAACGATATTATTATTCGCCTTTTACTTTCGAAATGGCGGCCGAAAAACCTGCGTTGCTATAGACTAAACGAATGTAGCGATTTCAATGAAACATCGCTAAAGTCATTTGATCTACGTCCTTCAAATTTATCTATATAACATAATTTACCGAAAAGAAGCTGGAAAAAAGTTACGAGGGATGGTAAAATTTAATTCCGAATAACTGAAAAAGTATACACTTTTTTGGGAATGTTGTGATAAGATGTTTCAAACATATTTGAATTTCCTAAAAAATGAAGAAAGTTTCATCGAAATCAAAGCACTATTAGCAGAGATATCGTTAGTTTTAAATATTTTTGGTTTATTATTTGCAATAATCAACCATTGTGATCGACCAAAAAATTAACCCCCCCCCCTCAAAATTTGAGGTTTCACGTTTCAGGATGCGTAGAATTCGAAAAACGAATACAAATATTTTGGTCCGTCCGCCGTACGCCGTCCGCGCATTTTTTTTCATGATCTGGGATATATTATAATAAACATTACTGCATACATACACATTTTATTTACTTAAATAAATTATGTATAATAATTGTTGGAATATTTATCATCTAAAGTGATGACCAAAGCAATCAGCAGGTTCCTGTAAACGTAAAAATTAGGATTTGAAACACTTAATTAATCGAGTTTCTCTTTTTTTAAACTGAACATAGCTTAAAGGGGTTGAAATGGTTTTACTAAAGATAAACTCTAGTTTTATTTAAAGTACAATTTCTTTAGTTTACCGTGGATCTAGTGAACTGTTAATTATTAAAATTAAATATTTTGTTAGCTTCCTATTTGATAAAAAACGTGACTAACTAAAAAAAAACAAACAAACACAAAACTTAAATTTTATACTTTTCTATGTATTATTAATTGGTTTATCTAAACGTTTTTGTAGTTGTTGAAGTCTACTTTTAAATATGTTCCATTACTTGCGGGAATATCTGTTAAGTTTCTTTCTAGTTTTTAAATAATATAATGTGACTATTTATTAATTTAAAAAAAAATCGATACCTACGTCTATTTCTTGATTGAACTTCGATGTAGAAGTAGTCCAAGGACGTTGATATGGCAGTGACGATTATGATGAAGATTACAACAGCTCTAAAAAGATAAAATAGATTATACACGTATACTTCGATGAATAGGTAGATATATAGATATATAGGTTGATAGATAGACAGCCCGGAATTTAATAATAATAATACATTGTTTGTAGAATGAAATACAGGAAAGAATTTTGGGATTTAGAGCCTAAGAACAAGGCGAAAAAAGACAATACAAAAATTATAAGGTTACTTATAATATTAGTTAATGGACTAAAAATATTGAGAAAACACCTATTTACAATTTTTAAGAAACTAGATAAATAGGAAATGATGGAATAAGCGGAGTTAAAAAGTAGAGAGAGCATTGGAGCAACTGACGTAGATATAGATGGAGTTACTTAGGGACGAGGATCGGATATTAAAAGATATGTCGAAAGTCAAGGTTCGGTAGAATTTGAGAACTTGATGGCCGATTAAAATAGAGTTGCTTATTTTAACATTTAACATTCGAATCCGGCCTGGGAGGGTTGAGATATAGTTCGTGGCGAACCCACGTAGTAAATTTTTACCTACCCATTCTGGTTAGGATAGGTTACGTAGCAACTCAAAAACAACCCCCTGCATACCAGAAATGGTGAAATAGTTTTTTTTTTTTTTAAATACACTTGATTTGACTTTGATTCACGTTCTCCGGTTAACTTATTTTTGTTTGATTCGAATACTGTGGGAAACACTTATTTTCAAAATAAACTTAAGGTATTGTTTATCTCTTAATGTAAGAGGGGGTGGAATCTTCGTGGGGACGAATAGAGGATTTGAATTGAAAGAGCTCTGAGATTTTGTTGTCCCGAATCGGATAACACGGTGTGGAGAAAGGAAGCTAAAGAAAGTAAGTTTTTTTTTTTAACTGTCCTTACATATCAAAGAATAAACTCTTGCAATAATGTTTTTCCGAAAAAATAAGTTTGGACTCCTACAGAGGGTTGTGACCAATGAGAGATTGGGGCCAGTTTAGAAGGTACATTTAGTGCATAATAGAATAGAATAGAATATAAGCTTTATTCTGGAACGATTTCCCTTAAGAATAACAATTATGAACAAAATCTGAAAACAACAACTGACCAATAATTACATTAATCAAAAGATTATATACAATATCTTCAGTGAAAATATATTAAATCAAATAAAAAAATTAAAACCGTTTTGAAAAAATAAACATTATTGAAATGAAAAGAAAGACAGAAATCAGGGGAAATAAAAAACAAACTTTTATAAGCACTATGGGTTGATTCCAAAAATTAAAACTCAAACAATTTCAATAACCATTCGCCTAAGTCAAAACTTCTTAATATTTATTTCATTGCACAATGTCATTTTGGAATTTGAAAAGGAATTAGTAGAGATGATATTTAAATGAGAACAAGGAAGAGGCATGGCGGATATCAGATGGCAAGGAATTTCAGAAGGCAGTCGATCGGGCAATAAAGGAATATTCAAATGTCTTAGTTCTATGAGAAGGGATATAAAGGTCGGAAACACGAGATCTTGTTTTCTGGAAGTGGACCACGGGTTTGAACTGTAGGATACTGTAGATGTAGGATGGGTGTCGGGTGTTGATCGTTTAGAATTGGAAAGATCCGAGGAAATATTGTCTGCGGAAAGAAGGGAAGTGAAACTTCAACTCGTAAAGGTGGGACACATGAGACTGCCTCGATGTTCCCGAAGACAAATCTTAAGCAGGTATTCATGAGTCGCTTCTATCTATCCTCGAGTATCATCGGGATGCCTCCGTACACAACACAGCCGTAGTCAAAGGAGAGAAATATAAGAGAGGATACAAGGAGCTTGCGGATAGGTTGTCGGGGAGTAGGTGTCGGGAGCGATGAAATAACTTTTAGGAGATGAGAGGGATATGGGGTTTCCAGGAGAGGTTTTCTTCAATGGTGATTCCTAAGTTTTCAACGTTAGAACGAAATGTGATGTGATGATCGTTGATGACTAAAAGAGGAAGGAAGGAGGTGGATTTAAGAAAAGAACTGGAACCTATAATGATGGCTTGAATTTGTTAATTATTCAGACTTGCCCAGGCACTGATCATATCTAGGTCTGCCTGAATATTGGGGAACGCGACTAATATCTCTGAAGGGTGAAAGGATAAGTAGATTTGGGATCTATAATAGTGTTAACGATTTGCTGTATAAAGAACGCCCAGTTCAAATATTATGTAGTTTATATATATATATATATATATATATATATATATATATATATATATAGCGTTGTAAGGTACTTACGCAAAAGTCCATTCAGCAGCATCGATTGGCCCTTTATCAAGGGTACTACAGTCATTCTTGCTGATAGACACGGTCACCTGGTAATTGACTCCGAACATCTCCAGGACGTTGTCGGGGACAGAGAAAATACTGTTAAGGACTTCTTCCAGGACCCAGGACTCGCAAAGGCTCGGGTAACACTGAGACATAGTTATTGGGATGTAGTCCACGCCGAAGATGTCTCGAAGATTTTTTGGAACACCATTCAACTGAAACATTATTTAGATTATTCTAAATATAACTATTAATTTAAATTAACTAATTTAGTTAACTAATCATGCTATTTGTACTGACAGATGTACTTTGAAATTATGAAGTATTTAACGCGTGTTTGGGTGATATTTAGGGAGTTATAAACAAGTAGATTTAAGTTTAATATCTTTATTATTTTCTGTTAATTTTTTATACCAAGTCATCTAGCCTAACTATAATATAACTATAACTTGTTAAAATAGTTACGAGTCCTAATAAAGGATAGATTTACTTTTATAAATATTGACTTTGTTATTTTTCCTCAATATGTCTGTTTCATTGGATGATCAACATCCATGTGTCTATCGTTGCAGATTAGGTACATTTTTTCTCTCTTTATCACTATTTTGTTTAAATGAGATTGTAAGGGTTCTGAAAAGAGACACAGCGTCTTTTCTCTGCAGTTCGAATAAGAGTTTCTGCTGTATGAGTTAAACAATGCATTCAATGAACAAAATTAAAGTTACTTTTATTCCGTGATCAAACATGGAATTACACAGCTAAATTCATAACTAAAATAATTTAATAAGATAATTATGTGACAATGATTTTCTTTTGGTTGCACCATACTTCGCCATTTGTAGCATACAGAAGAGAGGATTGTTCTAGAGAAACCAAACCTATTATAATCAAAGTGGGAAGATCGAGATTTATTCCGTTGGTTCGTCACCGAATAAATATTAACACGCTCGGCCATCATGGCAACGATTGTCATTGTTGGGTGATAATTTCTTCTTTCAATTTTAGTTAAAAATAGCCTGAAACTTTTATTTAATTATTTTTTTATTGTACCCAAGCTTGAACCTATAGTACGTATATTTGTTCCAGATATTCTTATATAGTAAATAATGTTGCCAATCTGGGGAAGGAGTCCGTCCGTTAAGTGTTCCCTTCCCTTTATTTTAAACTCCTCGATCCTTTGGATTTTCTCAATGAATCTCAAATATGATGATCTATCCAAATGGAGGAGTCCTTCTGTTCTAGGATTCAAACAGGAGTCCGAAGACTACTTAGGTATCGCTGAAGTGCTCTCTGATGTTGCCACCTCGCCCTTTATTGATGAAACTGCGGATCCATCGTCCCAAAAGCTGATAGTATTGTTGATCTATCGATGATTCAATCGATGAATAAAGGTGCGCTCTGGATTTTATTATTGTTTCCATAAATGAGTTTAGGAACAGCCTTTTCTAATCTTTCATCTCCATTCAAATTCCGGCGTTAGTCCTCAGACAATCATCACATCGTAAGCTTATAGATGTGATCTGAGGAATATAATTCTTTAAATAATATTTTATGAATCTTTTTATACAATAGAACATTTTTTATAATAAAGAATAAACAGATTACTAATTACTACATTATTTTAAATAATTAATTTTATTCTAGTTTCCAGAGGTTGTTCGTACAAGTGGTTTGATCACCCACAGCCTTCCAATGTTTAAGTGTCTTTTAAGTATGAATGGTCTGTGGCTACTCCAATAACAATTGGAGTTCTTATAAGTTTAGGACTAGCGGCTACTTAATTATAAATATAGGGTCCATTGAAAAGCTGCTAAGCTTGTCTATTCCTAGCATATTCCTCTAATACTTCAGGCTCAGTCAAGAACTTCTTTGTGATGGTGATTATTTTAGATGCCTAATGAAGGTTCTGGTCTCATAAGAGGTTGTCTCCACTATTCCTCGTGATATTGTCAACTTTCTCATTTTGCATGCATACCATTGGAAAATAAGTCCTTCCTTTTTTTTTTTTTTTTTTATGTCACTATGATACACTTCTTATCTTATATGAATTAATCCCTAAGGTGGATTGTTTATCCTGTTTGTATTATGTCAACAACTATATCTGTTAACTCTTGTTGAAACTAGCTGAATATTGTGTTTGCTTTTGCATTGTGAATATGGAAGAAAATATCTTTCATCATTGGCATATTTTGTTGCATTATTTTAAATAAGGTAATTGTGCTGCAGAAGCTCGTAGAAAAATTTGCAGTGCTTATGGGGTTGAAGCCTTAACCGAGCGATCCTTTCAAAATTGGTTTGCCAAATTTCATTCAGGAAATTTTGACATCAATGATGCTAAACGGTCTGGTCGCCCACATGAAATTGAAACGAGGAATGTTAAGACCATTGTTGATGAAAAATCCCACCCAATCAGTGCGATAGATTACTATGGCTCGAAATAATGTCGCACACAAGCGTAGAAAACCATTTGCACAAACTGGGCTATGTTTCCAGGCTAATGTGCAGGGTCCCTCATATGATTTTTCTTCAAAAATCACAAAAAAATGTATAACTTCAATACGACTTTAGCTATCTAAAAGAAATTTAGCTGGAATTTAGGGCCACATTAACTACACAACATTACATCAACAGAACCTTCCTAAACAAACTACAAATAGAGATAAAGAATAAAAACTTGTAAGAAGTTTTTATTTATTTATTCCTTATGTATGCATTGAATAAAAAAACCATTGAGACGGCTTTGAAGAACAATAACTTAGCTTTCCAATAATAACAGATATAATTGAATTTGGAGAAACTCCTGAAGAGTTATAAATGATCGGAAGAGTGTTGTGTTCCACCAAGACAACGCTAGGTCCCACGCCTCATTGGTCACTCTCAATAAATTATTCAGCCTTGGATGGGACCTTTTGCCACACCCTCCTCCCTATTCCCCAGACCTGGCTCTAAGTGACTACTATTTATTCCGGTCTCTGTAGAACTTCATGAATGGAATGAAATTCCAAAAGAATGAGAATATCAAAAAAATAAAACTTCAGACATTCCAGACAGGCACCCAGAGGAATTTCAAAACCCGGATTGCATTCAAAGAAGATAATGCTTTCCATATAGTCAGGAAAAATATTTATTCAACTCTATACTGCTCACATTAACAAAATTGGATTAATCATTTAAAAATAAACGCCTAGAACTGGCAAATCGGAAGAATGATTAGTTCCATCAAGACAACGCTAGTTCCCACACCTCATTGGTCATTCGCAATACATTATTGAGCCTTCGATGTTTGCCCCATCTTTCCTATTCACCAGACCTAGCTCAAATGTACTTATTCCGATTTCTGCAGAACTCCATGAATGGAAAGAAATTCCAAAAGGAAGAAGATATAAAAAACCATTTGGATTAGTTTTTTAACAATTAACTCCAGAATTTCTATGAAAATCGCATCATGCAGTTAGTGGAAAGCTGGGAAAAAGTCATATTAAATAATGGTCAATATATGGTAAATTGAAATAAATTTTATGCCTATAATACACTGAGTTTTATTTCACTCTGAAAAACCGAAAGGACTTATTTGCTAACCCAATAGTTTCGGTTTTTTAGAGCAGTCAAATGTCACCTTTACCTACTAGCACTTTTACACAAGTGCCACTTTAGGCTATTTTAAGGCTTAGAGAGCTAAGTGAATAAATAGATTTGTTGACCAATTCATAGCTTTTAACGTGGTTTCTAATTTAATTTTGGGCTTCAAATAAATCGCTGAAAGTTTAAAATTAAAAAAATTGTATTTTTAGTCGGAATAGAAATTATGATTTTCAAGTTTAATTTATCGTTATTTTCACCTTCACGACCTCCAAATCCTTATCAATGACACAACATGTACCAAAAATGAATAATGATTTTCAGCATTATAAAACATGATTTATTATTTAATAAATCCAATATGTTATCAAAGACTTAGGAACTGGCTAAAACATGAATCGCTTATCTTATCTCAACAATTTTAGATAAATACATCAATTATTATAAATAAAAAGGTTTTCCTAATGAAGAGCTCTATCAAACATTTTTTAAAAGAAAATGACTGACTCATCATCAAGAAAAAAAAAAGTTTTTTTTAACGGTATTTATTTGGAGAGAAGTTGTTTGGGGGTGTTATTCAACGAAAGTTCAAAGTAAAAAAAAACTAAGGTGTGAACTTTAGAACACACGATAAAAGTAAAAACATCATCAAGGTGAGATTAAAAATATATATATTTTTTTGTTATGTATTCACAAAGTTATTGTTTATTTTTTGCCATTTCTTTTTCCCTTTCCGACTCTCTAACTCGGTATTACATCAAAATACAATTTTAATATATAGCTCATTACAAAAAGAATGAAATGCTGAGCATTTTCCTCGCTTACACTATGTAGGTCCGATCTTTAGTTTCTGAAAAATTTAAACCCAATGCCAAAACACTTCAATTAGTCAACTAGAGACCGACTTTACTTGAATAGCGTTACACATCCGAACTTGACCACTCATTCACTCCCCCCAAAAAAAAGTTCGAAACGCACTTCATAAATCCTCAATTGATTCCATTAAATCCTCGAGATCTTTTATAATATCTTTCTAACGGTATCGTTGACTTCTATTATGAGAGTTTTAATTCTGTTTTTGGTTATTATTCGAAGAACCTATTATTCAATTTTAAATCTATTATTCAATCTTGTAATGTTCTATTCTTTATGATATTTGGATGTGTGACCGCCCACCAACTCACACATAGATATAATATATCCCCACACATATTATTACAGTAAGGCTCGAAATCGGTTTTGTACCAAATATAAGCTCCTGTCATGCTCAAATACCATGAATGGGGTACCGTTGAATTCAAAATTTCACGGAATCGTATTCTCCACTTTTGTTTTTCTTTCTAAAATAAATAAAATCGATGCAAACATTTTGTTAGGCTTCAGTACTGGAACGGTGGTAGGTCTGTAGATCGATACGGGACAAATTGGATCTTGAAGATTTTTATGCGTACAACGAGATCCGGACCCTGCGTTTTTAAGCCCCAAAACGGACTAAGGCGTACGGTTCGCATCCACACAACCTTATATTAATTGTAGTACTGTCATTGAATACATGTCTCATTTCTTCGACTGGAAGTCTCTATGATCGAGAGAGGAAGAGTTTATATTATTTATCGATTATGTTATTGATTGGCAAGCCATATACTCGTTAATTTTTCACCAAATCTCATGATTGAACCATCAATTTCAAAGGCTTCCTTCTCCTTCAAGCCATAAAATAGTCTAATCATCCCGAAAATTCAGGCAAACAAGTTATGAAAGAAAACAAACTTTTTTTGCAAATAACTGCAAAATTACACACTTTTCCCTTGGTTATGGCCATGATTATATAAAAGATTACTAAATTCCCTACAAAATATAAAAAAAAAAAATCATCAAAATGTGACAATTTTTTGCAAAGATACAGCTTACTGAAATATGTAAACATGTTGGTTCCAAACAAAAATGAAGTTTTAAATTAATTTTTGTTTTCTTTATCGATTATATTTATCGATAACGTAGCATTTGATTTCTTAATCTTTTTTTAATACGTTGCATTGTTTTATTTTCTTATTAATTAGGCATTTGATAACTATATGCTGTGCGAATTTTTCGCACGGGCTTACTAGTTTGTATATATTATATAAAAATACGCTTACATTCATGGTGTTGTTGGGGACATGGATGTTGAAAGATACAAGGCAGTGTTGCCCGCTGAAACTAGGTCCATCAGTTCTGTTCAGGTCTTCTGGTTTTACGTTGACCTTAACACACTCGTCATATTGGCCCAAGTCGATAAGGTTACCGCGGAGCAAACCGGACTGAAGTTTTGTGGCGGAGTCGATCACTGTAAATAAATAATTTGTAGTCACTTATTGAATATTAATACAGGTAACAATAATAATAAACATTAGGAACTATCAAGAATACAAGGAACTTTATATTTATGGTATATATAATATACACCTAAAATATTACGGAAATATTTGTAAAATATTCGTCATAATTGACCTCTAGTAACTGTATTTTATTTATTACATTTTATATATGGGGTTGGCAAATAAGTCCTTTCTGTTTTGGGGATTAAATAAAACTCAATGTATTATGGACATAAAATTTATTTTAATCTACAGTATATTTACCATTACTTTTTACTTTCCTACCTATACTAGGTAAGGAAAGTATTGCAATCGGGTCAAATTTCCGATATGCGGTCAAAAGTCCGAAAAACACATTTTTAGCCATGGGTCTGTCTGTGACAAGATTTTCTCCGGAACTACTGAACCGATTTTGTTGCTTTTATTTTGTAGAGTTGTAAAAGCCGTTTAGCCTATTGTTTGAAAGGTAATGAAATTCCCTACAAAGCCATATAGAAATCGTTCATTTTGGACAACGATTTAACGATGTTACAGCTATTCAATTCCCAATGAATGATTACAAGTTCATTTCCTGGTGTTAGAAAGGGGTGAATGATAGAATAAAGATGATTTAGTGAAAGTAAGAAAATCTGTTGCCCGCATCTTCACTATTTCTTCTACTTTTAACAGAAATTATTGTTTTGCGATACTAAGCTATAGCAAAAAGTTTTTGATCAGCAATATTAGTGAGTATTGTAATTTTTACACTGTTCTACCTTAAGCCGGTTTCATTGCTTTGGTTTATCAAAAAGATCCTACTAAAATCTTTTGTTTGATCAATTTTCAGGAAAATAAATTTAGTTCAATTCTATTTCGTTTCTTCAAGAACATATGTAAAGAAATAAAAACTTTTTTGAAATAGGTAGGAAAGTCGTGTGAGTGGACACACTAGATATTTTTTTTTTATTATTTCTTAATAATATTTACAACTGTATTAAAGAAATAAATTTTGTAAATTTCAACACAGGGACATAACAACTTGAAAATACTTGTTGAGTAACTACCCAATAGTAGCACTTTAATGATATGTCTGCATTAGGAGATTACGGAGCCATCTTCTTTTCAGACGTCTCGGAGGGTTATCAGGAATAGAAGAGGAAACAAGGTTAAAAACGAGAGGGTTGGGATGATTCTGAAGTTTATTATGGAAGGATAGGTATCTGGATTGGGCCAGATCTGAAACATAAGAAATATTAAGGTCATTATGGATGGTTTTATTTGTAACAAAGTAGGGAGCATTGAGGATTTTATGAAGGATTTTGGATTGCATGGATTGGATATGAGAGGAATTTGATTGGTTAGGGGAGCCCCATAGCTTAACAGGCCTTATTGAATTTCATAATTCTTGTAGGCCTTAATTTCTTGTATATAGCCAAAGTCGTATTGAAATTATAACATTTTTTGTGATTTATGAAAAATAAAATCACGTGAGGTACCCAAACATTAAGCCACGAAACATAGCCGTGTTTGTGCAAATGGTTTTCTACTCTTGTATGCGACACATTTCGGGCCATGGCAATCTCTCGTACGGTTGGGATATTGATCAACAATGGCATTACTGCTCATTTCAATTTATGTGGGAGACCAGACCGTTGAGCATCATTGATGTCGAAAATTCTTGAATGAAATTTGGCAAACCAATTTTGACAGGTACTTTCGGTTAAGGTATCATCCCCATGAACACTGCAAATTTTTCTCTGAGCTTCTGCAGCACGTTTAATTTTTTTAAAATAATACATCAAAATATGCCGATAATGAATGATAGTTTCTTCGATATTCACAGTGGAATAAAAAAAAAAAGAGTTAACAGATATAGTTGTTGACATAATACAAACAGGATAAATTCATCAAATAAAAAGTATATCATGGTGACATAAAAATAAATAGAAAAACCGAATGAACTTATTTGCCAAACCAAATATATTACAATTTTCATGAAAACAGCTCCTACAAACATGATTAAACTCGGTTTATCGATGCAATATGAAATTGTCTTTCACGTCATCTAGGTATTAACCTAATATAAATAGTCTGTGAACTATTTATAAATATCTGTGCGTTTGTTTTGGTAAATTGAACTCAAAAACAATGTTTCGTTCCAATTATAATGTATTCAATATACGGGTAAAACATATTACTTTTAACTATCGATATCTATTAATCTATATTTTTATTCATAAATAAAGTTGTTTTAATATTGAATTTTATTTATTATTGTAATAGAGTTATAAATATATTGAAGTAATAAGGAAATTTTTTGTTTACATTTACTTTGGAACATGTTATGGAACGTTATGAAGTGCAAATCAAACAAAAAAAGAGTTTCGTACTACTTTTGATAACCAGTTACTATGTTAACACCTTTCAAATTATTTTCGGTCTATCATGAATCACGCCGACGATGTATAGCTTCTTGACTAATATCAATACGAATTGTGACATATCTCTAAGCTAACAATCGATAATTAAGATTAAGTTAATAAATCGCTCTTTGAGCCTCTTTGTCTTATTTGATCTTTAATGGATGACCTCAATCTTTGCATCTAGTACTTTTGATTGTGGCCTTTTTTTATTTGGAATTTTTACTATTATCTGAATTGAACGAAGAAACGAACATATCGGTATGAGGACTCTAGAAGTATAAATGCATTTTTTATATGACTCATCTGGAATCGTTTATTGATTGACGCACGATTTAACATTCTTGAATTTCGTGAACAGTAGTTTTTTTCGTTTCGATGTTCCTTCCAGGAGTTATCAGTGGAAAACAAAAAAAAAAAATCTTAACACGAGTATTTCTTTAGGCTATTATAAGTTCTCCTAAGGTTGCATTTTAAACATTTTTATTTTTGTTTCATGCATTTTTGCGAATCATATCCTCCGTAAGTGTACCGTAAATAGAAGGAAATTTTGATAGGAGTGATAGTAGATCTCAAGAGCTACAAAAAAGTTCATACAAACAATGTAAATTAAGTAAGAATTGATTAGGACTTAAGTGCATGTAAATTTTTAAAAAAACTCTACTATATATTCGCAAATCTTTTCGACCCTCAAATGTCTAATATCTTTGAAATCAGCGGCAATGATACGGTAGACGTGGTTCATTTTTCTAAACTGTACCACTAAAATCCATGAAGAGTTTTTTTTTTTTTTTTTTTTTTTTTTTTTTGTTCTTCCCTATCTCGCCTTTTATAGAACGATTCTCTTCGGTCGCCATAGAACGATAAACTTAGAACTGGCAAGGACCAGGGGAATCCGACTGTCTAATTAAAACAAAGCATTAGAGGACGGGGTGGCCGAATAGGCTAAAGCGTGTGCACAGCACCGCTAGTTGCCTGGCAACCGGATAACAGAGATTTGAGATGATATAAAAAGTACGAGTTTGCGTCCCGGTGCCGGAGGGGATTTTAAATTCCCCGCCCTCACCCCTCGGCCCGGGAAAATCCCGTATAGCCTAAAAGGCGAGGTAGGGAAGAACAAAAAAAAAAAAAAAAAGGTTGCCAGGCAACTCGCGGTGCTGTGCACACGCTTTAGCCCATTCGGCCATCCCGCCCCCACCGTGAAGGGTCTTGAATTCAGTACTACGTACTTTTTCTTGGTCAACGGTTGTGCAAGGAGGTGATTTGACCGAGATCACGCTCAACCGCTACGTTTCTTCCCTTTATCAATTACTTAATTACGGTACCCACTTTATGGTGGCTGGGTGTACCCTAGGATGGTCTCCAAATCCCAGAGTAAATCCACGGCCGATAAAACAGAATAAATAATTTACCTGCTATTAGCCGGGGTTCGAACTTGGAACCTTGAGCATAGGAACCTTAGCGAACAATAACATACACTTTTGTAATTATCATTAAGTCCTTCTCCTCCTAAGAGTACCTTTTTTTTAACTTTCTGTCTATATATTAATTATTTTTAAATAAATGTAGAGGTATTATATGAAAGTTTTTGGATTAAAAAAAAAATAAATTATTACCTTCGCTCTACAGGTATACGTGAAAGGACCCTCAAACGAAAATTAAAAGGTTTCAGTCAAAAACTTTCAGAACAAAAAATAAAGCTCTATGGTACGTCACAAATATTACTTTACCTAATCAACTACACATGCCAACAGTTAACGACCACTTACGGACATTTCAATTTTACGTTCATTTACTTACAAAATAATTCACGATATCTTACGCGGACATCTTAACACTCTGATCCAAGATATAGCGACAATTTACATAAAAGGTAAGAGACTTAGGACGCTCAAAATATCCAAACTAAATTCAAGACAGGTAGGGATGTCATTGGGAATTCCATTCCCTAACGTCGATCATTGCTAATATTCATATTACTGTCAGCAAACTGATTGATTGTCAATATTTTTGGAAATGTATTAATTAAGAAATAAAGGTATAAAAAAAATACTATAAGTATAAAATAGTCTATAAAAAAATGAGAACTTTCAATCCCTTGCTACATCAAAACAGCAGACGAACTAGAAGAGGCAGTACACAAATTTACAAAAAGTGTCCAGTGGTCTTCATCTCTACCGAGGTCATCAGGAACAGAACACTTGCCAAGATATCCTCAATATAGAAGGGACTTGAACACGGCAAAGAGGCACGTGAGGTATGGCAGACTACCTTATGACCTGGAGCCTACACTTCAAAATGAAAAGAAAGACTTTGAACAAGAGACTGAAAATATTATACTCACTGTTTTCTAAAACAAAATTGAAAATTAGACAAAAACTAAATACATACACTTACCTGCTCAAGCCCATTTGGACATAAACCTCACAGATTTACGGTTCAGCAAAAAAGACTCACTTACAAAAACTACAATCCTTTCAATCTAAAATTTTAAGACTAATAACTGGAGCTCCCTGGTATGTCAAGAACAAGACTTTACATACAGACCTAAGACAACTAACCATTGACCA